CCCATGTTAAAAGACTTCTTTTCCCCTGCAGAAAAGGCTTATTCGTGCCTTTCTGCCCGGCGGTCGGTAGATTCAATCTACCGAACTAGTGCACGAATGACTGGACCACCTGGGAGCTGGAGTGTGTCGGCAATTAGGCTCCCAGAATCTGCAGTTAACCGCAGCTTAATAGACGAATGCTGGGTGGCCTTTGTTCGGTTGCCGAACACGTGGCGGCGGCCATTTTAAAGTCCTGAACGGTCAGCGGTGTTCAGCGCCCAAACTGTGGAACTGTAAATGGACACTTATTTGCGCGAACACCGCTGAGCCGTCAGCCTCCTTGCTTCTGCATTCGGTCAGTTAACCGAATGCCTGTTCATTCGGTAGTTTAAACCGTATGAACAGCATTACCCCAGATAGCCATCCCGTGGAGTCTATTCGTATGGAGAACAGACTTTAGGAACACTTTAACTTCACAGCGATTGGACTGTGTGCATAGGATCTGAGCGCTATTTGGTACTTTTGTGCGCTCAGATCCCAGCTATCTGGGGATGGGTTGCAAGTATATATTTTGTGTGATAAATGTAATATTGTGTATTTTATTGTATTTTAGTGTTTTACTGTAACCATGTGGTTAATGGAGTTTTGCCTCTGTCCTGGGAGATAATTGGATTACTTCCAAATTATCTCCAGGACAGAGGGAGTGAAGTTAGGATGCATTGTGGGGATGTTCTACCTCTGTGTGTCTGTCATTGGTTCATGTCTGTCCTTTGTCACAGTCTCCCATTTAGTCCCCTAGGGGAGAGTCCACCAGGTGGGAGACCTGCATAAATACTGGGCAGGTAGCCCTCATTAAACAGACCACTGCTTGACCCTCAACACGGAGCCTTGTCTCATCTTTGGGGGGATTTACTGTATGCTGATAGAGACTGATTGCTAGGAGTGTAAGCCGCTTGGGTACTTTTCCTATTCGTCTCCTAGCAGCTATTCGTGAGGTTCCAGTTCGTGAGTCTGGAGTGCTATTTTGTATGCAGTTCGGGAGTTTGAAGCATTCCTTTACATGCGGTTCGGGAGTTTGGTGTTCTGCAGTAGCTGTGCCTGTATCTCTGGAGGGGAAGATCTACTAAACGGCTGTTTAACCCTTTGATGCCTGGGGGTGCCGTTACAGTGTCTTTGGTAGCTGCCTGTGTATCTGGAAGGGAATATCCTCTTAACGGCGTTTAACCCCTTTTATGCCTGGGTGTGCCGTTACAACTACATACGCCAGACCAGAGGGCAAGGATTACAATGGCCCTGGCCTATTATGGGACGCCTTTGCCGTACCAAGATTCGGGGATGCTGCAGAGTCACGGCTATGGGACATACATGAATCCAGAGCAGACATGCTAGATCTCCCTATGGATGAAGACCTAGAGCCAAACCTGATTAATCTGGGCATCAGGGAATGGGATCTGGAGCAGGAGTACCAGGACCTCATAGATTGGTCTCGGGAAGACCCCCAGTCGGCAGGTGGAGATGGGACCGAGTTCTCTCTACCGGCCCTACAGGGATGCTGGGCAGCCAACCCAGATCTCCAACCATGGTGGGAGTTCCAGGGAGCCGAAGGTGCCGTCCTTTCTCCCCAGCGGCATTGTGAGTTCCAGGGAGCCGAAGGTGTCGTCCTTCCTCCCCAGCGACAGTGCGAGTTCCAGGGAGCCGAAGGTGTCATCCTTCCTCCCCAGCGGCAGTGCGAGTTCCAGAGAGCTGAAGGTGTCGTCCTTCATCCCCAGCGGCAGTGTGGGTCCCAGGGAGCCGAAGGTGTCGTCCTTCCTCCCCAGCGGCAGTGTGAGTTCCAGGGAGCCGAAGGTGTCGTCCTTCCTCCCCAGCGGCAGTGTGAGTTCCAGGGAGCCGAAGGTGTCGTCCTTCCTCCCCAGCGGCAGTGTGAGTTCCAGGGAGCCGAAGGTGTCGTCCTTCCTCCCCAGCGGCAGTTTGAGTTCCAGGGAGCTGAAGGTGTCGTCCTTCCTTCCCAGCGGCAGTGTGAGTTCCAGGGAGCCGAAGGTGTCGTCCTCCCCCCCCAGCAGCATTGTGTCCTACAGGGAGCAGAGACAGTTGGTCTCTCTCCCCAGCAGCAGGACAATGTTACGGGAGTGGAGACAGTCGGTCCCCCTCTCCAGCGGCAGCCTGTGTTTCAGGGAGAGGAGCACAGCACCCTCTCTCCCCAGCGGCAGCTTACCCTACCAAGGGGAGACCCTACTCCCCCAGATGGTGCAGATGGGACCCTAGTCTCTGCACCCGACCTACAGGGATGCAGGACGGCCTATCCAGATCCCCAACTACCCTCACAAGAATACCGGGCGGAGGAGGTAAGCGATGTCTCCCCTCCCCAACCAAGTTGCGTCCAGGTTACCCCAGCAGAAGCACTGGCATCAGGGCAGAGCGCAGTTTTAACTCCATGGCGATTTGACTGTGTTTGTGGCATCTGAGCGCTGTTCGGATATAGTGAGCGCTCGGACCATGAATGTGGGAGTTCTGTTAAGTATAATAGGAATTATTTATTTTTATGTGTTTTTACTGTTGTTGTGAATAGAGCTATTTTCTGTATGCTGGAGGTAATTGGCTTACCACACCCAAGCCATGCTTGCAGATGGTCACAAAGGGACTTTCAACTAACTTTTGACCCACTGGACCAATTTGTATGATTTTGCCGTATGTTTGTATTTGGAGTATGCTGATTCTGAAAATGTAAGTTTTATGTGACTGTGATGTATACCTTTAGAGTTATGAATATTGTGTAAAACTGTGTATTTTCCTGCCTGTGATAATTAAGTTAGACCATTGTGTTCAGTGATTATATCAGAGGCAGAGGATTTTGTGTGGGAGTGTCTGAGGGTGTTCTGCATACTCCCTTGAGCTTTAATCACTTAGCTCTTTTAAGAGCTTGTTCCTGATACGCTCTCCTGGAGGAGAGGTCTTCCCCACACGGTCCTGGAGGACAGAAGACGGCGAGACGCCAGTTAAGCTACGGCAGTTGTGGAGTCTGCGGTGGCTGTGGTGTCCAGGCTAGGAAGTGTCCATCAACGTAAGGTACTCGGTTGGAGTACGGGGAGTTCTGTTACAGGGAGTATTATTGCTGTGGGACTCTGTTATACGCGCAGACACATTACTGGGAGTATTATTGCTGTGGAGCTCTGTTATACACTCAGACACATTACTGGGAGTATTATTGCTGTGGAGCTCTGTTATACACTCAGACACATTTCTTGGAGTATTATTGCTGTGGAGCTCTGTTATACACTCAGACACATTACTTGGAGTATTATTGCTGTGGAGCTCTGTAATACACTCAGACACATTACTGGGAGTATTATTGCTGTGGAGCTCTGTTATACACTCAGACACATTACTGGGAGTATTATTGCTGTGGAGCTCTGTTATACACTCAGACACATTACTGGGAGTATTATCGCTGTGGAGCTCTGTTATACACTCAGACACATTACTGGGAGTATTATTGCTGTGGAGCTCTGTTATACACTCAGACACATTACTGGGAGTATTATTGCTGTGGAGCTCTGTTATATACTCAGACACATTACTGGGAGTAATATTGCTGTGGAGCTCTGTTTTACACTCCCACACATTACTGGGAGTATTATTGCTGTGGAACTCTGTTATACACTCAGACACATTACTGGGAGTATTATTGCTGTGGAGCTCTGTTATACACTCATACACATTACTGGGAGTATTATTGCTGTGGAGCTCTGTTATACAGTCAGACACATTACTGGGAGTATTATTGCTGTGGAGCTCTGTTATACATTCAGACACATTACTGGGAGTATTATTGCTGTGGAGCTCTGTTATACACTCACACACATTACTGGGAGTATTATTACTGGGGAGCTCTGTTATACACTCAGACACATTACTGGGAGTATTATTGCTGTGGAGCTCTGTTATACACTCAGACACATTATTGGGAATATTATTGCTGTGGAGCTCTGTTATACACTCAGACACATTACTGGGAGTGTTATTACTGTGGAGCTCTGTTATACACTCAGACACATTACTGGAGTATTATTGCTGTGGAGCTCTGTTATACACTCAGACACATTACTGGGAGTATTATTGCTGTGGAGCTCTGTTATACACTCAGACACATTACTGGGAGTATTATTGCTGTGGAGCTCTGTTATACACTCAGTCACATTACTGGGAGTATGATTGCTGTGGGGCTCTGTGATACACTCAGACACATTACTGGGAGTATTATTGTTGTGGGGCTCTGTTATACACTCAGACACATTACTGGGAGTATTATTGCTGTGGAGCTCTGTTATACATTCAGACACATTATTGGGAGTATTATTGCTGTGGAGCTCTGTTATACACTCAGACACATTACTGGGAGTATTATTACTGTGGAGCTCTGTTATACACTCAGAGATGTTACTGGGAGTATTATTGCTGTGGAGCTCTGTTATACACTCAGACACATTACTGGGAGTATTACTGCTGTGGAGCTCTGTTATACACTCAGACACATTACTGGGAGTATTACTGCTGTGGAGCTCTGTTATACCCTCAGACACATTACTGGGAGTATTATTGCTGTGGAGCTCTGTTATACACTCAGACACATTACTGGGAGTATTATTGCTGTGGAGCTCTGTTATATACACAGACACATTACTGGGAGTATTATTGCTGTGGAGCTCTGTTATACACTCAGACACATTACTGGGAGTATTATTGCTGTGGAGCTCTGTTATACACTCAGACACATTACTGGGAGTATTATTGCTGTGGAGCTCTGTTATACACTCAGACACATTACTAGGAGTATTATTGCTGTGGTGCTCTGTTATACACTCAGACACATTGCTGGGAGTATTATTGCTGTGGAGCTCTGTTATACACTCAGACACATTACTGGGAGTATTATTGCTGTGGAGCTCTGTTATACACTCAGACATTACTGGGAGTATTATTGCTGTGGAGCTCTGTTATACACTCAGACACATTACTGGGAGTATTATTGCTGTGGAGCTCTGTTATACACTCAGACACATTACTGGGAGTATTATTGCTGTGGGGCTCTGTTATACACTCAGACACATTACTGGGAGTATTATTACTGTGGAGCTCTGTTATACATTCAGACACATTGCTGGGAGTATTATTGCTGTGGGGCTCTGTTATACACTCAGACACATTACTGGGAGTATTATTGCTGTGGAGCTCTGTTATACACTCAGACACATTACTGGGAGTATTATTGCTGTGGAGCTCTGTTATACACTCAGACACATTACTGGGAGTATTATTGCTGTGGAGCTCCGTTATACACTCGACACATTACTGGGAGTATTATTGCTGTGGAGCTCCGTTATACACTCAGACACATTACTGGGAGTATTATTGCTGTGGAGCTCTGTTATACACTCAGACACATTACTGGGAGAATTATTACAGTGGAGCTCTGTGATACACTCAGACACATTACTGGGAGTATTATTGCTGTGGAGCTCTGTTATACACCCAGACACATTACTGGGAGTATAATTGCTGTGGAGCTCTGTTATACACTCAGACACATTACTGGGAGTATTATTACTGTGGGGCTCTGTTATACACACAGACACATTACTGGGAGTATTATTGCTGTGGAGCTCTGTTATACACTCAGACACATTACTGGGAGTATTATTGCTGTGGAGCTCTGTTATACCCTCAGACACATTACTGGGAGTATTATTGCTGCTGAGCTCTGTTATACCCTCAGACACATTACTGGGAGTATTATTGCTGTGGAGCTCTGTTATACACTCAGACACATTACTGGGAGTATTATTGCTGTGGAGCTCTGTTATACACTCAGACACATTACTGGGAGTATTATTGCTGTGGAGTTCTGTTATACGCTCAGACACATTACTGGGAGTATTATTGCTGTGGAGCTCTGTTATACACTCAGACACATTGCTGGGAGTATTATTGCTGTGGAGCTCCGTTATACACAGACACATTACTGGGAGTATTATTGCTGTGGAGCTCTGTTAAACACTCAGACACATTACTGGGAGTATTATTGCTGCGGAGCTCTGTTAAACACTCAGACACATTACTGGGAGTATTATTGCTGTGGAGCTCTGATATACACTCAGTCACATTACTGGGAGTATTATTACTGTGGAGCTCTGTTATACACTCAGACACATTACTGGGAGTATTATTGCTGTGGAGCTCTGTTATACACTCAGTCACATTACTGAGAGTATTATTGCTGTGGAGCTCTGTTATACACTCAGACACATTACTGGGAGTATTATTGCTGTGGAGCTCTGTTATACACTCAGACACATTACTGGGAGTATTATTGCTGTGGAGCTCTGTTATCAGGGCCGGTGCTAGGATTTTTGACTACACAGGCGAAGATGCATTTTGACGCCCCCCCCCCCCCAAAAATAAATAAACAATGCATCTTCACCTCTGTGTCTCGTAGCCCCCTTTTGAATTTCTTACCCCCATTAGTGTTGCATATCCACTCTCTTGAATGTCTTATCCCTTTGGCCCCTTTGTGCCTTACACCCCCCTTTAGTGTGTCTCCTACAACACCTCTTATGTATTTCTTACTTCCCCGCCAGCCCCTATCTATCTCTCTTTTTCTTCCACATAGACATAGATACAGGCAAAAATACATACATGCACAAATACACAAACATACAGACACACAACCATACAAGCACACAGACATAATTTTTCAGGCACACAGTCACAAAGATATACAGACACACAGTCATAAAAGGCACACAAACAACACAGTCATACAATCTACACATACAGGTACATTGTCATACAAACACAGACATACATTCATACAGACACAGGCCCTCACAGAAATACAGACAGACATAAAGAAACATAGAGATAGGCATACAGAGACATACATACACAGATACCGTGTAAATGCTCTGGCCATCAACAGTGGTGGATGCTCCGTGTCAGGCGGACATCGCTGGATCCACCAGTAAAGTCTTCAATAGGAATAAACGCAGGCAACACTCCAATAGTAAGGATGGTATATTTATTGGTAGGTGAACCACCCCATAGAAAGTGTGATGTTTCAGCTCATGCAATAAGGCCCTGCTGAGCTGAAACAACGCACTTTCTTTGGGGTGGTTCACCTATCAATAAATATACCATCCGTACTATTGGAGTGTTGACTGCGTTTATTCCTTTTGAATACATACACACAGTCATACAGAGACATACATACTGTATGTCTCTGTATGATGGTCTGTGTATGTACACAGGATGGCTAAAAGATAGATCCCCATCTGTCGTGCAACTTCTACAATGCTTTGAAAGCTGGGGCTCTACCGATTCCCCATGCTTGCAGTATTGTATTTAGCATGGAGCAGTATTTGTGTGTTTGACTGTAAGCATGTGTTTGTATGGAGTATGTTTGTATGATTGTAGCGGTGTGTTTGTATGTAGTGTTTGCATTTGAATGCAAGCATGCATTTATGTGAAGTGTTGGTTTTTGAACGTAGGTGTGTGTTTATATATAATTTTGGTGTCTGATACAGAGGTGTGTTTGTATGTAGTGTTGACATTTGAATGCAGGTGTGTGTTTGTATGTAGTGTTGTTGTTTGCATGCAGGTGTTTATTTGTGTGTAGTATTGGTGTTTGAATGCTGAGATATATGCACATATACACATACACTGCCACACACCCACACACTGTGATACACATACACAAAGATACACACACTGACGCACATGCAGATATACATATACACAAACTGATACACATTCAGATACACAGACACACATATACAGATACACACAAACACTGACAGACATACAGATAAACATACACTGACATACAGACACGCTGACAGACATACAGATACACACATACACAATGATAGACATACACAAACACACAAAGACACACAGACATACACACACTGACAGACATTTAGATACACACAGACACACGGACAGAGACATTTATATACACACACACTGACAGACATAGATACACACACACTGACAGACATATACAAACACACTGACAAACATACAGATACACACATACACAATGATAGACATACACAAAGACACACTAACAGACAGACATACACACACACTGACAGACATTTAGATACACACAAACACACGGACAGAGACATATACATACACACACACGGACAGAGACATATACATACACACACACTGACAGACATAGATACACACACACTGACAGACATATACAAACACACTGACAAACATACAGATACACACATACACAATGATAGACATACACAAAGACACACTAACAGACAGACATACACACACACTGACAGACATTTAGATACACACAAACACACGGACAGAGACATATACATACACAAACACTGACAGACATGGATACACACACACACTGACAGACATGGATACACACACACACACTGACAGACATAGATACACACACACACACACTGA